GGCGGGAGGAGGGTCCGGGGCCGCCGGTGTAGCCCGGCCCTTGCCCCAGGAGAGTGGCCAGGACTTGTCTCCGCGGTTCGTACGTCGCGTTAGGATTGTGGGATCACTTCCCGGTTTCTGCAGCTCGCTGTGGTAGCTTGTGTGAAGCCAGGCTTGTCTGCACAGTAAGGGTGCAGCTCACTGTGCTTTTTACTCCAGAACTGCACCAGCAGTTCCTGCCCTTATCTTCCCTGCCAGCTGCACATTCCCACCTCACGGTTGTGCCAGCACAGCTGTTTTTATGGGACTACACGCTGAATTGGGCCAAAGAGCTGTTCTGGGCTAAAAATAGCCCTGCAAAAGAAAAAGTTTCTTTTTACACAGGGCAGTTCACTGACTGTTACCACAGGGGCCTGTGGACTGGGAAGAGCTTAAGTTTCACTGGTACAACAGAGGAATGTGTGCATGTGCGCATGCACAAATTGATGTCTATAAGAATGGAGCAATATTGACTACTTTTAGATAGTTCTCCAAGATCTCTTAAATCCCAGAGTAATGTCTGTAAAGCCTGGATAAATGTGTATTGAATTCTGTTGCAGCTCTGTTCAATTCTGTGAGCTTTTTCCAGAAAGGAATGTGCGTTTTCAACTGTGTGGTCTCCATGTGGCAACACTTGCATAAACATAAAGTTAGAGCCCAGCTGTCCTTAACTGCGAGGGTGCTGTGTTCCTGCCTGCCGGAGAGCATCTGCTCTTTTCTGTAGGGCACTTTGGAGCCCTGTAACTGCCTCATGGATGAGACTTTGGCATTGTGTCAGGGTTGTATGAACCTTCACAATATTCCAGCGAGAAAATACTCTGTCTTACAGATGGAGCCTGTGGTTCACCAAATACGTAAGGAAACACCAGGTGCTTGATTTCAGCTTATTCAACGGTTTAACGAATGAACATCCTTCCTCTGCTGATCCTGTTCCCTCTCCAGATGGACTGTTGGTTGGAGCCAGTCGTAATCTATTTGGAAGCTGGAGTCCCAGTTTCCCTGGTGATATGTGGAGTTTGCTGGCCAGCTGCAGAAACAGCACACTTCCACGTCCAGGTTTTTCACAGATTTGAAAAGCTGCAGATCCTCCTTGAGAGCCCAGAACAAGAGGAGAGTTAAATCACAGCAGCAAGAAGAGATATCCATTCTGTTCAGTAGTTCAGAGACTTCAAATAAACAAACCAGAACTTTCTTACAATGGCAAAATTCACCATTTTTCTGACTCCTGCCAGACCACTGTAAAAAAAAAAAGTCTCCTTCGGACTGAGGGCCCACAGAGTGCTCCCCCTCCCCACTCTTGTACCCCCCATCGTCCCGTTTTCAGCTGAACCACAAAACTACGGGAGTTGGTGGAGATTTTCACCGGGTTCGGGTTTCTCTGCTGCAAGCAGTTGGGAATTTTGTTGCAAGACTTCCCTCTGGTGGTCAGTGGAAATGAGTAACGCTTCCTCACCATAACACGCTCCTTTTGCTGCTTTTCTGCTGGAATTATTTCTTACTCACTCACTCTCTGACCTTCATTGTTTGTAGGAGCCTTTCCTTACTTAGGGCTTCTCCTGCTAATGACTGGTAACTTTTTCCAAATTCCTTTTTCCTCCCATATCCAGTCCCTGCACTCCTCAGTAGTTTACTACCCTTGACCCAATGTTTCTGCACAAAGTCTGCAACACAGGTGGAGCCTTTCTGCCCAAACCTGCTTCCTGCACCCATCCCTCACAGGCAGAAGGATTGCAGCCGGAGATGAACGTGAGAGAAAAACAAACCTCTTGGCCACTGTCTCAGAAGAATAAAACTAAATCAGCTTGTAATTCTGAAGAATTCGCTGTTAATAATGAGATTCTGAAAGAAGTTGTAAAATATCAAGACACTATTCCATTCGCCTACCTGGCAGTAAACGCCCCACCAGCACCCAGGCCTGGTTTTCCTCTCCTGATTTCATTGTCCCTACCAGTCAGCCTAGAGATGATTTTTTCCTGAGGAGCTCTAAAACTTTGGCAACCCACCTAAAGCCACAGTTAACTGGCAGAAAGTTTCTTGCTGAGTTCAGTGGGCGAGTCTTGAAATTGTGCCAGCAGTACAGCAATGTTCTGTCCTAGGCGACATTCAAGGATATTAAAACAAAATAAGGAAGCATCTGGGTTAACCAAAGACTTCGTCTGCTCTCTGATGACAGCAGTGCAAGGCAATCCTGCCCTAACCATTGCTTTGAAAGGTTAGGCTTTGTAAATCTGGTCTAGATCACATATGTCAACACTGTGTCCTACTTACAAAATTAAAACTAAAAGAGGAAAAAGTGCATCTTTCGGTTTCTTTTCCCTGTGACCTCAAGCAATAGTGTTTCTCCCACAGAAATGTGTTTCCTCTTTCAATTATTTCAGTGTCTGCCGCTCACAGGAGGCGTCTGTGTCCTGTTTACTGCTGATGTTCGCGCTCTGTGTGTGTGGGCTCTGCCATAACCGTTCACGCCTGCCTTGGGAGTGTCACCCATGTCCGAGGTTCCTGCCAGATGCTGGCTGCGTGACATCACCGCCAAATATAGCGCTTTTGGTGATCGCAGGTGACATTCGCTACTGTGCAAAATCCCTGTGCAGAGACTTATAAAACAAGCTTGGAGCATGCGATGGGCACCAAGCAGGTGTATTAGTCCCACTGGATTAGGTGTAAGGAGAGGAGCCTTTATGTCGCCAGCTGTGAAATTGCTTCATGATGAAGTCAAAATTTGCTACTGAATTTTGCTGGGAAGTACTGCCGATCCGGAGGGACAGTGACACATCGCGGAGGATGAGCTGGGGGGTTTTTGTTCGGGAAAGTGCAGAACGGAGGAATGGAGCAGTCTGAGCAGGGTGGAAGGGCCCTGCAGCCGGAGGAACACTGGGAATTCCTCATGGAATTGGCTGGGTGTGACAGAAAGCGGTGATCCTTCGCGGCGGCAGCGACGAGATGCAGCTGTGCAGCCTGTCAGTGGTGGTGTTACGCCACGCGTTGGGAATAATGGTGTCAAGGCAGGGCTTGCTCCTGCCCTGGCATCTGTTCTGGCCTGCTGTGTGCGAGGGGATAGAGCTGATTGGCATCATTAGGGTAATGAAGAACTTGTCTCGTGGAGATAAATTAAACCAGCGAGGAGACAAGGCTTCTCTCTCAGAGGAGCCTCAACACCTCGGGTGGGAAACCAGTACTTGACAAAGAGAATAACCGAGCCCAGAAACAACCGGACACAGACACCGTGGAGAACTTTAAGCTGAAAATTAGATTTATTTTATCAGAGATGTAAAATTCCAGCAGGATCTTCCCGTAGTACGGGGGGGAATG